TTCTGAATTCTCTCCTATTGTACAGTTATTAAAAATATTTAGATAATACTCTTATGAATAGATATTTATACAATTTATAATTTTTAATTTACTCTATAGTTTCATTTAAGCATTATGTTATACACTAGTTATAATTTAAATATCAACTAACAGGTCTCAAGCTGTGGCTCAGTAGTTAAGAGCACTGGCTGCTGTTGCAGAAGACTTGGGCTGGCTTCAAAACACCCACATGTTGGGTAACAACTGTGTGTACCTTCATTTCTAGGGCACCTAACCCCCAACTCTGTCCTGAGCAGGCATTTCACACATATGAAGTAAGTACATATATGCAGGCATGCAAGTAGAATAGTAAAAAATTAATTGGTTAACTTAAAAATAAATTTAAAAAGCATGTATGATTTTATTCATTAATTAATAATATTTACAATACCCTGGTTCAGTCCTGCATACTTAGAATATAGGACAATCTAGAAATCTTTGGATCCTATCTTTCTTTAACTCTTGTTCTATAATGTCATTTTTTATATAAATTGAAAGCCTGTTATGTCAGGGTCATAGCCACTCCACAGTCTGCCTTTGTCCTCCAATCAGGATATGCCCTCTTGAAACTGTTTTTAGGACAGAGAGTTGTTGAAGCTTAATTTGGCCCTCCAGTCTCCTTCCCCCTTATAGCTTCAAAACAATCAAGAGTTAAGAGATTTTCTTTAAAAATGTCCTGTTAAAACCAGGCACAGTGACACATGCCTTTAATCCCAGCACTCCAGAGGCAAAGGCAGATGAATCTCTGTGAGATCTAAGCCAGCATGGGCTATTAGCAAGTACCAGGGTAACTGGGGCTACAGGAAGACCCTATCTCAAAAAGGCAAAAACATAATTAATTAATTAATTAAATGCCTTGTGTCCTCCAGTCTGTAGGCTAAGTTCAAATGGTATGGAACTGTTCCATCTCCTTGGAAACCTTTCAGAGAGCCCCTTTGTCTTATGGGACTGAAGATTCTCTCTTCCTTCAAGAGACCATCATACTACCTGTGCTGTGAAGGTGTTACTCACCTGATGTTTTTGGAACTGCAAGGTGTGTCTTTCCTCAGGACCCTCAGCACGCTGTACTCTGTAGTTTTTCTCTCCTAATGCTGTCCCTCTCAGAGCCTCATCATGGCTGCCTGTGACCAAGAGCCTCCAACTCTCCTAGGAAAGGCCTCCGAGGTCACTCATTGCATTCACCTGATATTTCTATGAAATTGTTTCATCTTTCCTAAGTTATAACATCATCACATGTTATTCATTCATATTCCTCAAAATCACATTTTGAGTATCAGTGGTGAAACAGGCACTTTTCCATCTTCACTTCATTACCGCAGCATGGAGAGTTGGCTTTATGCCTCCAGTACTATCACATTCACATAAACACATGGTACAACTCTTTGATTGATTTCTAACTATGAATAAATAATGCAATAGAATAGTTTTTAAGAGGCATTATAAGTCTCATATTCTCTGCTATTGATTTTTTAGTAAAAATAATATTATGGTGGAATTTATATTGAAAAATTGTAAAAGTTTCAAATGTTGTCATATTGCCTTTCCAAAACTTCAGATTTGTGTTGTGCAGCATTTTCTCACCTGTGGCCAACTTGAGAAATGAATTTTTGCTAAGCAGGAGAAGCTCAATCCATCATGTGTCATCATGTGTCATTAAGGTGAGATTCCCTAGATGTGGATCTTGGTTCAATCATTCCTTAGAATGACTTTGAAAAGCTACCTCATCATTTTCATGGATGACTTCCAACTGGAAAAATGAGAATATGTGCTAAATGTCAGATGCAAAGTGGTCACCAGAAGGATTCAAGAATAATCATGCATGGGCTACAGAGGTGACTCAGTGGTGAAGAGCACTTACCATTCTTGCAGAAGACCCAGTCTCAGTCCCTGACACACACGTCAGGGAGCTCACAATAACCTGTAATTCCAGGTCCAGGAGAATTGGAGTTCCAAGGCCCTCTCCTCCATTCATACATTACACATACATACTCAGGCACACCCACGCACATCCCAATAAAATACAACAAATAATTGCATCTTTAAAAATCATTACTAAAAATAAATATTAAATCATTGGTGTTTAATTCAAACTTTTGTCATAATCTCACAGAAAATTTAAAAAACAAATCATTGTATGTTTGTTTTATGAAGATTGTATATATGTTGTAACATTAGACACATAAGAATTTTGACTATAAGAATACAAAAATTTGAATA